TGTGTTCATGGTATCAAGATTGTTTGCGACGAATTCTGAGTGTTGTATTTCGAATGCTACCCTGACCAACGTAGTAACTAGTGAATGTGCTTATGTTCTGGATAAAAGGTGAGCTACTTCACTCGCTAACATATTCAAGGTATTCTATCTGCAAAATTCCTCAGACTGCTATGGTCGACAATAAGTAGAAATGGAAGCAAGGAGCAACGAAAATATAATGACACTCACACGTTAGGGTCCGAAAAATAAGACACCAAGCAGTAAACAGTAAAACCACCGTTTTCAAATGTTTTTTAATTGTGCGGAAGGATATCTATAAATACGGGTCTAAAGGTGGAAAAGGAACACGAGTGATTTAACAGAAAAACAGGTTACTCACAGAAGGCATCACTGGCTCAGCCGAGTTCCAAACGCTAGCGGGTTCTCCATCATCTATTAACACTGAACGTCTTAAGCAAAGAAAGCTTCGGCTGGAGAGGTATTGACAAACAGGCCGCAGGCAATCGCACGCATTTCACTGCCTCTTATGCGCTGCACAAATTTATTTTCCGTCTTTACAGATGGCGAGGCTGCCACGAATATGCCCCGCGTTTTACCCTTGGGAACAACGGGTGAAGTGATGCCATGTCAAGCATTCCTGTTTGCTGCGATGTGGCATTGTTGCGAGTCTAACACCCCTACCGGATTGACATCCTTCCATTAGTAGGTCAGACCCTCTCAGCTATTCCACTGCGATACGAAATAATATTTTACGCAAAGCCATATGGGTAGGATAGGCAGGGTGAGGAAAGATTCTCGTCCCAAAACCGATAATAATGAACATTGTAGTTTGAGAAATGAGAAGAGTTTAGCTCAGAACTAGAGTAAAATCTCACCTTCTTATCTAACAAATCATGTGTAAACTAGTAGAGATATCTTGTAAGTGCAATAGCTAAAATGGTCCGTGCATAGTGGAATGTCAGTCGCAATTGAAGCAAGACATCTTTAGTAAATCATAAAAGTTACGATAACGTGATTGCAAGGTCATATTCATGTTCAGGCTAATGAAACAGACAGATTCTTTCCTAAACAAAGACCTGTAAAGACAAATCTATACTGACTCCTCTTTTGCTATGAAACTACGACATCCTAAATGGAAACACCAAGTTAATCCCATTAACTTGTGCTGTGATTCTTCACTCGCAGAAGACTTGGCTAATTTCACCTTCGTTCGACCATTTGAAGAGAAAGACCATTTTATATTCCCGTGCTTCCCTCAAATAAGTCAAAAGAATGAATTAATCTTTGCCTCCAAAGGAATTCAAGTGATAAACAAATTTTTTGGTGTTCTTAAATTAGAGGAAGATTATTCGACCAATTTTTTGTAATGTCTTATCAAAACAGCCTCATGCAGCCAATTACCACACAGGAATCAGCAACCCCTTACTGAAACGCTTCACTGGTAAAACAAGCTGTTTACTGCTCTGACAGACATAAATTGATTCAAATACTACTCTTTTAAATAAAGTTAAGTTTTTGTTTGGTTTACATAAAATAATGAGGCTATTTACCTTCACTTATTTTCTTAATTTCACTCAGAAATATTGTATACCGGCTGGTACACTTAAAAAGGGGAAAAAGGAAAAAAATTTGCTGCTAAGAAACAGCTCTAAAACATACTATGTGACACTTGTACTGGATGTATAGCCCAAGTAGCGAATAACCGTTCGTTACTGAATCCCAGCAAATGCTAAAATTTCTTTTTATTAACATGTGGTGACTGATGTTGAACTACCTCTTTGCCAATATTTTAAATTCGGCAGGTTAAATTTTTTTGTAGAGACTTATCTAAAACGATTTGTGGTATTTTAATTACTGACAGCAATGATGGTTACTTTTAAAGAAAGCAACATGTCGGGTCAGACATGTCATACCCGATCATTCATTGCCATTTTAGTAGCATAGTCCAAATGGTATCCGTAATCGCTACAATCGCGTGGACAACGTGATTCCAGCATTTAAGGTTAGTAACCACTCCTCACTTCATCTTTAGTCACCTCTTAATTGAAACGCCTAGTTTTCAATTTCAAAGACCCTTTTGAACACTCTTTACAAAGGATCAACACATTAACCGCTGCTCTGTCTATGCTGAAGGCGATGGGTGTTGTGCAGAAGACCTCTATGATTTGGCGAAAAGTAGAGCCTCTCGTAGACAATGCTATTTGTCACCCTGGTAATTACATGGCTTATCTGGGGCCTCCTTAACCAAATCACCCAAAAAAACAAATCAGAAATAAAAGAAAATAAATTACTACTGTTGCCACGAAACAATGAATCTCACCAAACGAATCCAGGTTTCATTTAAAATGACAACAATAAAAATGTTTGCTGGGGTGAAAGAGATTCTAAGAGGGTTGTTAGATCCTCTTTGGATAATTGCGAAGCATCCAGAAGATGGATTATGCAATCGTAACATTACTGATCTTCCACCTGAGTTGGGACTAAAGATATGCAATACCTCAATGCCTCGGATTTGGTAAATCTCCGCATGAGAATTTAAAGCTAAGAAGGATACTTTTAGCACGGTCATTCTCTGCCCTCATGTTCCAGTACATCAACCAATGGACCCGATTTGACAAGCATCTTTGTCAACTGCTCTTCCCACTACCTTCACCAGCTTCTTTTTGAGATGATCCTGCAGCCAATAAATTTCAGATGGTACAAACTGACTCCTGTTAACACCTTTTATCCACGCTGGCACAGAACCAAGAACACAATTCTGTACGCTTTTGTCTTCTACCAAATTTTAATCGACGTATGGCATGCCTTTAGGAACGAGTACCTCGGTTAGCATCACCATATGTTGAGAATGCCATTTACGTTCCCCTTGTAGTAACATAATCCTTACAACTATCAGCTGAATCTCTAGTCAAGATGGGTCTATGTATTCTACTATTTTGCATGGCAAATGTAAATAGGTTCACTGCAGCGAAATCGGATTTCCTAAAACATGTTGCAGCTAACTGATTGATTGATGCGTAGCGAACTGCGGTCCCGTATCTGCACTAGCATGAGTGGTGGTCAGTTTGTGCTGCCTGATATTATAATAGTTGGAGGAGCATCTTGAAAAGAAATTAGGGAAGGTTGTGGGAAAAAATAGCTGTCAGAGGTGCTTGTCCAACCAGGTTTATTGATTGATGTACTGGCACATGAGAGTGGATGATGACCGTGTTAAAAATACCCAAATCCAGCTTTGAATACCCATGCAGAGGTAAGCCAAGTCCTGACTATCAGGGAATTGGTATGTC